CTGTGTGGACAGACCCAAACATGGCAGCTGTTCCTCTGTCCCATCCCGCTGCAAACAATCACGTGTGGTGTTCCAGATCCTGCACTTCCTGGTTGATAAAGACTTCCTTGGGCCACAGACTGTTGAATACCAAATCCCAACACTGAAGTACAGCCTTCTGTTCTTACCCGTCGACAAAGGGGAACACATGATGGAGATGTATATGAGCAGTCTTGAAGGCAGGGATTTGACCTACAATAATACCACTATCACTGGCATGGACTTCGGCATCAAGCAGACACTGTTCAAGCATTACCTTGCAAGAGATTCAGTTTATCCTGTCCTAGCTGTTGTTTGTCTTCTCTTCACTATGGCTCTTTATCTCCACTCTCTCTTCATAGTAGCATTATCTGTAATAGCAATCACAGGCTCCCTCCTGACCTCTTATTTCTTCTACAAAGTAGCATTTCGCCTGACTTTCTTCCCCCTGGTCAACCTCTCAGCAGCTCTTATCCTCTTGGGAAGCTGCTCCAATCAGGTTTTCATCTTTGCTGATTTCTGGAATCTGCAGCTATCCCAGAACCCCTCAGCCTCCCTGGAGAAGAGAGTATACAGAGCTTTGCAGGAAGTCGGCTATTTGATTCTAGCGTCCGGGCTGACCTCCAGCGCAGCGTTTTTCTCTGGTTATCTCAGCAGCATCACAGCAATCAGATGTTTCTCTGTTTATCTCGGAACTGCCTCTTTCATCAGCTCACTCCTGGCGTTAGTGTGGCTGCCGTGCTCATTTGTTCTGCGGGAGCGCTACACTGAGGCATCCTCTGCATCGCTGGCAGTGCAGGGATGGAAACCATGCTGCTCCAAAAACACCGGCGGCTTCTGGGATACAAGCTCACGCAAGAAATGCCTCTTCACTCTCGGCCAGAAGCTGAGAGAATTAAAGCGAGGGTTCACTGACACTTCAAATTTATTATTTCTGAAAATTTTGCCATGTGGAGTGGTAAAGTTTAGGTACATCTGGGTGTGCTGGTTTGCAGTGCTCGCTGCCGGGGGCACTTACATGTCCTGCATTGACCCAGGCATGAAGCTGCCCACCTTAGAAAGCAAGGTCACCCAGCTTTTCCGCTCCAGTCACCCGTTTGAAAGATATGACGCAGAATATCGCCACATGTTTATGTTTGAAAGACAGAGAAATGGAGAGGATAAACCTGTTACATTAAAGCTTGTTTGGGGCATCAAGCCAACAGATAACGGGGATCACTTTAACCCTAAAAGCAATGGGTCTTTGGTTCTCGACCCAGACTTTAACATGAGCCAACCAGATGCTCAGGTCTGGTTAAGGGACCTGTGTGGAAGGGTCCAGAATCAAAGCTTTTATTCCCCCCCATCACCTGAGGATAGAAACGTTATGACAGACAATATCTGTCTTGTGGAGCAGCTAATACACTGGGTATCTGTCAGACGGTGCTCAGAGAGTGATGACGCCCTTCACTTCTGCTGTAATGACATCCCTTTCCCCTACCCTCCCAGTGTTTTTGAGAACTGCCTCAGCATGATGCTGGCAGAGAGGTACGCTGAGGGCCATCTGGCCCACAGCGGAGGTCTGTACTTCCAGCCAGATGGCAGGGTCGCTGCCCTCGTGTTGGCATTCAAAACCACATACCTCTACAGCTTCAACTTCAGCAGAACCAGTGCTTTTTACAGAGAAATCCTGACGTGGTTTAACAAAGAAATCTCAGGAGCCCCACAAGGACTCGAGAACGGCTGGTTCATCAGTCAGCTGTCTCTTTTTGATCTACAACAATCCTTGAGCTCAGAGACTCTGGTAGTAGCTGGCTTCTCAGTAGCTATCACATTTGTGTTGCTTCTTTTAACCACCTGGAATATTCCACTGAGCATATATGGCACTGTAGCTGTCGGAGGCAGTGTGTTTGTCACTGTCGGCCTCCTGGTTCTTCTTGAATGGCAGCTGAGCGGCATTGAGGCTCTGTTTATATCATCAGCAGCAGGACTTTCTGTTGACTTTATAGCTAACTACTGCATATCCTACAGCTTGGCTCCTCATTCAGACAAAATTGGAAAAGTAGCACACTCCACTAAAAGGATGGGATGTCCTGTAGCAATAGTTTCTGGTGCATTTTTCTCAATGGGGATCATCATGTTGCCTGCCACAGCGTTGCTGTTCAGAAAACTGGGGATTTTTCTGTTTTTGGTGAAATGTGTAGCATGTGGATTTGCAACCTTCTTTTTCCAGTCCCTGTGCTGTTTTTTTGGACCCCAGAAAAACTGTGGAACAATCACGCTGCCGTGTTTTTCGGACCAGGCTGACGGCGTACTGTCAACTTGCTCGGCAGCAGAACCTGGTTCCTCCTCGGCTGCTAATGGTGACTTTGGCAGATCTAGAGTGAGGAGGAGTTATGACAAAGAAGCAGGTGGCTATCTCTACCCCAACCACCAACGTCAGCACAGACAGAAACAGATTGGAGCAGGAGGAGGGGGAGGAGGTGGTGGGGGTGGGGGCAGAGGGCCAGAGCAGTATGAGCTGCAGCCGCTGGCTTATCGGCTGAGTGACAGCTTTGAGAACAGCACCTGCACCAGTAAACTGTCCAACCGGCCCTCTGTGCTCTCTGATGAGATCGAATATTGCGGGAGAGATGTGGGAGGAAATAGCATGGATGGGGAGAGTGAAGAGAGATGCAGTCGTCAACATAAGATCTACCAACCACCTCCAGCCCTCCAGACTTCATCACCTTACAAAGAAAACACCCTGCGGCCTGTGGGGCCGGCCCAAGAGGACCTCGCCAAGGACAAGCTGCTGTGTAAGACATGCAGAGGTCAGCCTGGTGGGGTGACTCACTGGGGCAATACATCTTTCTCCTCATCTTCCAGCATACAGGAGACTATAATCAGCCACACACTGGAGACCATTGACCAGCCATCTCTCAGCACAGAGGAACAAACCACACAGGAGCATCTCCATCACCACTCCCACAAAGAGCACCTCTCCTCCTTGTCCCAGAGCTCTTGCGAGGGTCTGGAGGATTCCTGTGAAACATGCCTCAGCGACATCGAGCCTGGGCCTTCAAACCCACAGCAACATGAAGAAGGAGAGGCTCAGTTACAACCAGGATACCTAAACGGGAAGAGAGATACGCTTCGCCTCTCACTGAAAGAAACTGTTTATGAGACTTGTAATAAGGGCCGCACCAGTCAGAGTGAAGAAGTGGTTATTTTACCCAACAGTAAGCCAGACTTACCAGATGTTTGGATAAAGAGAGATGGAAAACGGGAGGATACGTGTTGAGCAAAGTTGGAGGAATCTTTGCAAACACTGTGCATTAAATGCTCTGAATTTATATTAAAAAAAAAAAAAAAGGAATACAAAAGCATATACAAATTACAAAAGGAACATACAATGTTTCTTTTGTATAATACTCAAAGGAAATATAAGCTAACTGCAAATGTAACATGTGACAGCATGTTTGTCTTATGTTGCTGCTAAGGTTGTTACAGTTTCTGTCACAAATGAGGTCAAAGCATGAGTGTTTTTTCAGAAAAAGGTCAAATCAAAGCATGAGTTGTTCAACCCAGAATTTCCAGGAAGACCATAAAAGATGAAGCTTTCTTTTCTGCCATGATTTTGCACCAAAGTCACACTTGAAGAAACTACAGCTACAGGATGTCAGCAAAAAACAAACAAACAAAAAAACTACTAAAGTACTGCACCTGCTGCTGCAGAATTTACTTTGTGCCTGGAACTTTTTAACATCTGCACCGACTGGGTTATTAACAAATACAGTGCCACCTCTGTGCAACTGCTGGCCTTTCTCCATGCTGGAATTGACCTTAATGAGCCATATACATTCATGGACTTCATAATATTAAAAGATAAATGTGAGATATACAGAGAGAGAGATGCATTATGTGCGACTGTGTGCAGAATTACATACAGTATATTGGCAAGAGTCAGTTATCACATCTACATTAGCAAAGAGCTCTCACTAAACTACAGTCAGTTGAGTTTGCACTTTGTGACAAATGATATGTACAGTATGTCATTGTGACCATGACGTAGAAAATCAAAAATGTGTCATTTCTAGTGTCATGGTTTGGTTGCATTTAATGTTTCACTGTCAATTTAAAAGTCAGGCTGTTTATTCCAGTGTCAGTGCCAAAAAAATGTAATGTTTACTTACTATACTGATTCTAAAAGGCAAAAATGTTTCTAATACAGATATAACACTATACTGTGTACACTGTGGGTTTATACACTGTTGGCGAATTAAGGTGCATACTGTTGCTGGATCTGTGGATGTCGGTATATGCCTTAGCCTTTGTAAAGAAACAGGAGCGAGCTCTTATTTCGATTTCCAAAGCAGTAGTTGTACCATCACATGCCACAGCTTCAACAGCTAAGAATTTGTATATAAACCTTGCTGCACCACTGTTAAGAGAAACGCCAACAGGCAATTATCTGAGGAACAGAACGCCTTCCTCTACAGCCCATCCCACAGCTGAGAGGTAACATCACGTGTGTCTCAATACCAACGGTATTTAGGACATGAGCATGTGCCAAATGTCTTTCAATAGGTTGAAGCTAAAAATGTGTGTTTTGTGCAAAGGGTGTGTCCTTTAAAAAATAAGATGTATTTATGGTACTCAATAGGATATTAAGTATAAAACAAAGAGGTGTAGGAGTTGAAGTGTTGGTGGTGAAGCCTTGACAAGATTATTATATATATATATATATGAAACATGCCTATGAGCAGGGTTATTTTCAAGCTCTCTTGTTGTAAGAAGTGTTTGCTTTTGACATCTTAACTGTATAATCACAATTCTTCAAAGAGCCTTCACTTTAAAATCACTCAGCAGAATTCTCTGCCTTAGAGAGGAATAAAATCAATCACAGGCTTTCTACAACAGAAGAAATGGAAAAAGGTTACCACCACTGTTATTTACAGCTGTTAATGTTGTTAATTTTTCACCAAACTGAAATAAAATGAAATACATTTATTTTTCCTGCAGACTGGCTTTTAATTTATTTAAATTTTTTGGCTGTTGTACCAGACAGATTACAGGCATAAAAGGATGAAATTAAATTAAAACTATATTCTTGACATTAAAAAACAGTCCTCAAAGTAAAATGAGAAAGAATACAATTTCATTTTCTTCTTGTGTTTAAGGCATAAATAGGTTGGAGCCAAAGAAAAACATATTTTTGCAAAAAAAACTATCCAAAGAAATGCAGCAGATTTCTGGTCTTTTCCATGACATGTCTGACCGCAGTAACCTGAATGCCAAAGTCTTCATCAGTGTTCATCAGGCTAGATCTAGTCAGCTTCGACCCAGTCTTCTCTGGCCCAATCAGGTAAACATGTGGAATATTCAAAGTCAGGTCCTTTGTAGCGTAAAGCGTGGAGATACATGATGAGCTCCTTTTCTGTAGGATCTGGTCGTACCAGCTTACATTCACTACACAGGTCGTCTCTGGTCCCTGGAGGAGTGTTCTGGGTAGAGTCAGTAGCTTCTGTTTGATTTCCATTTGATTTGTGATGGCTTTGAGACTCTTGGAGTAATGTGCTGTTACTGTTTGGGACTGTGCAGCCCTGACTCACCTCATTTAGCGTCTCACTGTTTGAGCGACAACCTGTCAACACCTGTGTCTCTATCTTTTTATTGCCACTGCACGCATCAGTCGGTGCCTGATGACTTTCTCCAGTCTTGCCGGGTTCAGACGCACCATCTGACTTGTCTATTTTCTCAGATGTTTTGTTTTTTTCTGCCTCATTCCCAACACCGTCACCTGGTATATCCAACAGCTGCAGACTTTCCTGAGATCGATGTTCCTCTACCAGAGCCTGCAGTAGCTCCTCATCGCTCTTCCCCACCAGACCCCCTTTACCTCTGTGAGGACCCCATGCAGAGGACCCATAGATGGGGTCATTGAGGATGGGGAAGCCCAGGTACTGGAGGTGGACCCTGATCTGGTGTGTGCGGCCAGTAAGGGGTAAACAGCGAACCACGCTTGTTTTTCCGTTAAAGCTAAGCCTCCGGAAGACAGTTTGGGACTCCTTTCCCTTGGGGTCAACCCGGCAGACGCCGATTTTAAAGGAAACAACCAGGATGGGCTCCTTGCAGTTCAACTCACCCTCTGGAAACTCCCCCTCCACTCGGCACACATACTCCTTTTCAAGCTGGGAAAGAGAATAAATGTAAAGAACTTCTAAAAACCCAGTAGTATATTGATCATAGTCTGAAATCAGTAATGGGGTACTTCAAATTTGCCTAATCACCTGAAAGTCAGAATTTAAATCCAAACCATCCTGAACGTACCTGTCTGTCTCTCACCAGCTGGTCCAGTTTCTGTGAGGTCTCCAATGTTCTGGCAAACAGCAGCACTCCAGAGGTGAGTCTGTCCAGTCTGTGGACAGTGTGAAGCTCCGAAATGCCCCGCTCTTTCCCCAGGATGAAAATCACTGTGTTGTGGCGAAAGCGACCACATGGGTGGACTGGGATGGAGGCAGGCTTGTCGACCACAAGCACTTCACCGTCATCCGCCAGAATCTCCAGGGGTCTGTCGACCACGGGTGGCTCGTGACGGTGGACAGTGTTTCTCATGTGGTCATTATTCTGTGGATAGTAGGACAACATAGGTGGATGTTTCACCCAGGACGTTTGCCGTCCTTCACAGGCTAGAATTCAAATGTTTGAATTTTGTTAGGTTGCCTATTTTATGAGAGGAATAGTTTTTAAACCTCGGGCTCAATCATATGAGATATATCTGTCAGTGCAAGAAAAAAATCAAGACACATTTCTTGCAGGATTATTTGATATAGGAAGAACACCATTTCAATATCATTATGCTGCACACCATCATATAATTGTTTAGGTATTGAGAATAACCTTTTAATTATTTTCTGCTGATCAAACTGGTGGTCCTGGTGGGTCAGTGGAACTGTAATTTTCAGATGGCATTGTCAAGTATTTCAAAAATCATTCTGGAAAGAATCTGACTTGATAAATCGTATCACCGGACAATGAAATTCTGTGTTGCAATGGAAAACATCTTAAAATTGCCTTTATCCAATTAAAATAACGGGCAAACAATAGATATTAATAAATTAAAAGTCTTACAAAATGTGAAATATTTATGTATAGCATATTACTTTTTACCATGAGTTGTCAAGACTGGTGCAGATATTGGTTTGGTTAATTAACTTCACAGTTCATTCTCCACCATGGAAACGGGACATGAAAAAACAATCTCAACTCAAACTCCATTTCAACATGGATGAGAAGTACAGGAAAATTCATAACTAATACAGCAGCTGTGCAAACTCAATCTGCCGATGGGGATCATGTGATGCAGTCACTAGATCCAGAACAAGCCTTAAGTTGGGTTGAGATTGATTTGTCAACTGATTATTATTTACTTTTGGCTCAGATGCATGAAATCTAGTGAAGAATACACGACTTTTAAGTGAGCCCACATTAGTATGGTTACATCTACCATGCTGTTGAAGACCTAGCTTCATAGACCACACCTGCGATCCTGAGTGTTACCTGTATTATAAAATCATATATACTGTATGTGTAGTGATGACACTGACCCTGAGCACCACAGACAGGTCCTCCACAGTGGTCTCGTTGAGCCGGATGCGACCCTCTTTAGCAGCCCTCTGGTAGTACTCGATGGACTCACTTCTGAACTCGCTCTTGAACACCTCCAGGAGAGTCTTCCCAACCCACCGACCTTTGCAGTAGGTTTTGAAGTCAAAGTAATATGGACGAACTTTGCGGAGACCACCTTCGAAGTAATAAGAGGTCTCAGTGAAATGCTCTTGGCTGAAGCTAACACCGGGGTTCCGTTTCTGCGGAGGAGGGACGTATCTCTCGCCCGGACGGAGTTTCTTCCCTCCCGCTCCTCTCCGCCTCTTCCCTCGGCCGCTTGTTTCTGGTTCGCCCGGCTCGTCGCTTTTACGTTTGCCGGTTCCTGCTGCCTCATTAGCGGCGGTTCCCTGCGTGGACACTGGGCTGCTCACCTCCGCCGGTGACCCTGGAGCAATAACTGCCTGCTCCATGGTCGAGCTGCCGTATCGACACCGTGGAAAATGAAAAAGGCGATTCATATATTTAGTAACGTCAGAGGACGAAACAAAGCGTTGCCCTAGAGAAACTACACGCTTACTAACTTCAGTTTGACCCGCGAAGAATAAATAACATTTTCTTAAGCCCCTAACCGAGACACTCACGTGCATTACCTTCTAGGTCCTTCTCGTTTGAAGCGTGTAATGATGACGTTAATATGTAGTCCAATCAGACGAATGTGTAGTCCAAACGATCAAACGCTCATGGTTCTTCTTCTGATTCTTTGTCTTAAAGGGGACATCACCTCCTCGTCGGGTCATTATCGCCACCAACTGTTCACAATGTGCACTTAGTTAGATTTTATAATAAATGCTGTGTCTGATAGACAAGTCATAAATGACTTTACAAACAATGTTTACAGAGTAATAAACTAATACGAGGCTGAAACTGTATGCCCCTTCTGTTCCAGGTTTTTGTGTAAGAAATAAGATCATTGGTTGTGTCTAGAAATCTCTACAAAAACAAAATGTTGTTAAGCTATCATTAAATTTAATAAATTGTATAGAAATCCAATGCAAATCTGAACATAATGAATAATGTTAGTGTTTAGTCATCTGTAATTTTTTTGTGTATTTGTGCATCTTTAATATGTACATGGGTTGATGAATTTATATCCACACATTATAAGATTTTTCTCCTTGCTCATTTTGATAATGGAATGACATTTTTTTGTTATAGAATACCGATTATATTCTGTGTAAAATATTGTGTTATTGCTCTGAAGTGAAAAAAGAATTAATGCCTCTGATTATGATTCGTTTTTATATGTGCTACTCTTAAGGAGATTATGACTTCCTTTACTGTACTGTACCTTCTCATGATCCCAGTTCACTTTGACTCAAGTTTAATTTTCAGTAAAGCTTGACAACAATCAATATGCTATCCATTTAATGGGTTTTATTAATAAATCTGATGAGTGTACACATAATTACAGTATTGGTAAATTTCAAAAAGTGAAGTGCCTCAGTTCATCAATTTTTGGCACAATGCCCCTTCTGTTCTACAGTAACAATGCCAAACAAGACATGTCCTACACATACAGTGAGTAAGAGGCAGTTCTTACCACAAAATATATAATACTTAGTTAATTTTGCAAAATTTTCATTAAAACCCATTGTTATTTGTTACTGCATTCATAACCAAAGCATTCCCATAAGGTTGCACACAACTTCAGCAATTATCCATCCATCTGGATTGGACACAGACTGTAGCTCTTCAAGCTGGAATTGCAATTTTGTCACTGCTGAACTTCACTGACTTACCCATAAATAATAACGAGACAACCTTTTTTGTCATCCACAATATCCTTATCAGCCTCTTACAGACTCCATGGATTCTAGTAGAAAGGTTATTAGTCCAGCAGTGGTCACACTCTTTCAGCACTCTTGAAAGACAACCTGGTCAGGAAAATAGAGCGAGATCCTCCTCGTACGTTGCTAGGTGACAACCCAGCAGGGCAGGTGGCAGTTAAGTCTGGAGCTCAGTGAAACCATGAGGAGTGCTACAGGGTGCCGGAGACGCAGCACCAACGCCATCTCCTGCAGGGGCAACCACACTGCAGTCAGAGCTCACCTCTGAGGAGAGAAGGATAAGGATAACATGGATGTATAAAACACTCTTATGCTGGTAATCCAAAAATAATGTGCAGCTTTGAGTCATTACATAAAGTGGTCTTCCGTCACTTATTTTGCTTTTAAAATGATAGATCAGAAGAGTTTTGTGCAATACCCGGGCCACTGATGCCTCTTATCAGTCAGGGGGACGTAAACCACTCCCATCAATGCTTTCTTGAGGAAGGTCCCGTCACTCTGACGATCATACTGCTCTAACACCTGACTGCCACCATCGGGGCCCACCGGGAGAACCAGCCGCCCACCTGGCTTCAGCTGCTCCAAGAGCTTTAACAAAGAGAGGGAAGCACAGAGAACTCTATGATGATGGTACAGTTCAAGAGGCGAATTCAGTCAGTTCAGGTGGAGACACAAGAAAAATATTTTATGGTTCACTTTACTACAGCAGGGTCTTTAATCTTAACACATGTGCATGTTTTGTCTTATTCTCTTCTATTCTTTTCTATCCTACTTTTATAAGAGTAAAAGCCATATGTATCCTTACAGCCTTAGGAACAGTAGCTGCAGCTGCACCAACATGAATTGCATCATACGGCGCTCCTTCTGGGAAGCCCAGCCTTCCATCTCCCACTGAGGACAGATGTAAGAATGACTCTTATAGTGCTGTGTAGCTGTGCAGTGTGAACATCTAAATTTCAGATGGTATGACGAGATCATTGTATGACTCACCTACAAGTCTGATACGTCCAGAGGAGAGCAGTTCTGGGTCGTCAGCTTGCACGTTTTTTATTGACATTTGAACCAGTTCATCAATGTGTTCAATACCAACCACTCTACCACTGGGTCCTGTCTACACACAATAAAAAAAAATGCAGCTGTTGCGCTCATTCATATATTTTGTGTCAACTCATGTGAGGAAATACCAATTCAGCCTATTTGACAAGATGCCAAGTTTATGTAGAACTTACCATTCTTGCGAAGCAGGCAGTGAGGTATCCACTTCCTGAACCCACATCCAGTGCTGATGCCCCTTCTTTTAGTTTGTCACTTAACAGCTCCAAAGCATGAGCATGCTGTCAAACCAGGCCCATAAGAAAAATGTCCATGAATGTGGATGTATATAAGTGAATTATTTAGCCCTGCCCACTGTATAAAACATCTCAAGTCCTCTGAGAGTTTGTTACTCACCATGTGTGGTGCACTGATGGTCGCCCTGTAGCCTGTGATAAAAAACAGCGCACATCTGTGCTCATGAAATGGCTATTACTTTAAGGCACAAATGTATTAACTCAAACACCTGTTACCATATTGCTTAGCATGTGTCTTTGCATGTTTTTTTAAGAGTGACTGGAAGGAATACCTATGGACTGAGGAGAGTCTGCATAGGGATAGTCTGTAGAGTAGATCCCTCTGTCAGTAGCCAGCATGGCATCAAATACTCTGTCGTTGCGGATCACTCCATGATCTAAAGGAGAACAGAAAGGGAAATGACACTGAACTGAATTAGCAAATGTGGCAAATGTGAAATTCTGTCACGCTAAAGTGCGTAATTCTTTCTATTTGTGTTTCCCTTTTTTTTTTTTTTTTTTAAACCTGAACCAAAACCACCTGTACCACTCCTAACCATAAAGACTTTGGGATATCAAAGCTGATAAATTCAGTCCATTACCCCTCAGCCTGCTGATGAGCTCGGGATGTGTTTTGCCACTGGACATCCACGCCATTGTCCGAGAGAGCAGCACACCCATAGGGAAAGCCACTATTGCCAGGCGCAACGCTGGTCGCATCTCCTACCCTGGGACTCCCTGCAGTGACATGATGATCATGTGTCTTTTATTTAAGATCACATAACTGCAACATAACATTTATAGTCTGACTGCCTCCTCCGTGTGGCAATGACAGACACAGTTGTGGTCATTTTTTCATTTGAAACAGGTCTGTCAACAATTCCCAGCAGCCTGTGAATCAGATTATTCACGTTAAACTGAACAGTTAGCCAGCGAGCGTCGTACTTTACAGTTGTAATAACAAGTTCACGTTACATGTTAAACAGATAATATTGCATAACGGCTGCAAATGCTAATCTAGGTTCTCCAAATAGTTAACACTCACGAATAAAACAATTCAACAGAGGTCAGGGAACTTGTTTACCTTCGCCACCGCTCCTTCCTGCTGAGACAAACTTCCTAGCTCACTTCTGAGTGACCCGCAGGCTCGACCAATAACACGGGGACTTTCTAAGACAAAGCCAGACAGAGCCAATCACATCTCAAAGCAGTTAGATAGGCGGTTACAGTGTCCAATCATATGTCCCCTAAATAAGGAAATGGGCTGTCGCTTCTTAAAGCTTGTGGATCATGGACGCAGTTAGCTAGCGAGGCTAATCTTTAATCTTTAACTTAATTCATCAGAAGAAATAACAGTTTACCTGCCGATTTTCACTAAGGTAAGATGTTGAGAAGACACTTTGTATTTCATTATAGTGACAGCGTTTGAAGAACATTTGAAATGCCTAAATAGTCTATAAATTAGGTTAGACACCAGTTTAGCTCAAGTATATTGGTGTAAATTAAGCTCAGTATTTGATTGTTCTTTGTTTTGTGAAATGTGCGTTGTTTCAATTTCTGTCTTTTATCTAAATGTCCCAAGAAAGTGTCTGTCGTAATGCTTCTGAAAGAGAAAGGCACAGGCTAAAGCTAAGTGATTTTGATAACTGATGTTGACATCTGTGGCTGCACCAGAATGACCGACGACTTCGAGAGTCAGGAGGTCCGATCCAGCGGGGAGCTGTGGTCCGAGATCTGCTCCAGTCTGCCGGAAGTGCAAGCTGAAGCAGCTCCAGAAACCAACACCGAGTTCAAAGACTCATTCCAGCCAGCAGCTCAAGTAGGAGTGCAGATCAATGGACAATCAAATGGGACAAATGTTAGTTCTCCTAGTGCCAAGTGGGAACCCATGGAGGATTCTGAGATCTACATAGCCAGTTTAGGTATTTTCTTGCTTCTCGCTGTCCCATGCATGACTCTCCAATTTTGCTCACCTTACATCCACCTGATCATGCCACCTATCATACATCATTCTCATTCAAGATGTGTGGGAGATAGTAGAGATGAGAGGGCTTCAAAATAGTTCAATAGCAGCACAACTCGTCTCCGATATACCATGTTTTTGTTATGAGCTTTTGTGCCTTCAAAAGGGTGGTATCAGAAGTTGTTTCCGGGTTACCCCACATGTAGTTCGTCAATTTTTCGTGTGACTTATTGATTTGTTTAAAAATCACCATGAATACAAATGAGTAAAACAACATTACAACATTACAAGGTGAAGTGAGCCACTTGTGCTTTTAAATGTTGTGGAAAAACCTGCAAGAAAAACCTAACTGAGCACAAGTACAAAACTCACACTTTTATAGCAACCTTTTCAAAAATAGTTTAATAAAATATCAGTCAGAAATAGCTTCCCCTGAGCCTCCATTCAAAAAATGTTAATTATAACTTTGATGTAAGACGTAAAACACAGTATGTTTTGCCTATATTTTGCTGCAGAGAACCGTCTGAAGAAGTTAAAGGGCCAGTCCAGTGATGTGACCTCCAGGGACATGTTGCGCTCGTTGTCTCAAGCTAAGAAAGAATGCTGGGATAGATTCCTACACGACGCCCAGACCTCAGAGCTTTTCCAAGGAGGTGACATGGATGAGAGGTAGGACATGGATTTGATGCAAAGGGTTATCCAGGTGGAGTGTTTATATATATATATATATATATATATATATATATACACACATCATACACATCACTGTTTAGTTTTCCAAAAACTGCCCAATTAAATCCAAAGAAAAGACGGTATCCTAAACAGTGAGCGCTTACTATATGACAAATCAATGTCACTAAATACTGTTGTAGACGACAGATTTACATATAATACAGGCCTCCCAGGTAGTAGAGACTTCTGGATAGACCTCTTCTCTTCCTAACGTCCTTGACTTTTTGTGCACCTCCCTACCCAGTGCCCTCGAACACTTCAAGAGGTGGTTGATTCCTGAGAAGGTGGCCATCAGCGCAGAGGAGCTGGAATATCTCCTGAGGCCGTCTCAGAATAAGGATGCAGCAGGACCAAACCAAACACAAAACGGAGAGGACACAGAGGGAGAGAGAGACAACACTGAGGAAGATGACACTCACAGCCCAGAGAAATGAGTGTGTTAAAATAGTAACACTAACAGAAGACCTAATTTGGAGTGTATTCAATGAGGGGGACTTGTTAGCCGCTGCGTTCATTTCGAGCTGTGTTATGTCATACTGCTGTTTTTGGCCAAAGCTTTTGTTATTAGTGGTCAAAGAAGCAATTACAGCCCTTCATCGTTCTCCGTATCCCCAGCAACTGAGTGTTAAGTACTTATTCAGTCACACATGTTTTGTCTTTGCTCTTCATCCCTTCAACCACATCACACCATTAAAAATATATATATAAAAAAGAGTTTGAAATTAGACTGGTTTGTCCTCTCGCAGCAGAATTGTAGTGTGTAGTCTGTGTAGTGACTAGACTAACTCTATCTGTGACATGAATAGCTCGCTACCCGACACGCACACGCAAAAGTTAATGAAGGACCACGTGCAGTATCATCTTGTAATTTAGACTCGTAAGACGTAAGCAATGCATTATTTTCCAGAACCATTATTTTTCTGTCTAAAAATTGTGATATCTGAAGTAGGAATACTCTGTGATTTATTCCTATATTGTAACATATTGTGTATCATCTTTATTTTTGCCATGTTGATTTTACATAAGTTTTACCCACGTTGAAATAAAAACAAGGAGAATTGATTCTTTTGATTTGTCTGCTCATTAGCAAGCTGAGGTGCAGCTGAAATGCAATTAAAATGTAGAATATTCTGTGACACTGAATTGTGTGTGTGTGTGTGTGTGTGTGTGTGTGTGTGTGTGTGTGTGTGCGTGTTTTGTGTTTGCATGCATGCTGTTTTACTTGTATCTTTTGTGCGGACCTATTTAAGATTCAGACTTAGGGATTGAAGACATATTGGCAAAGTGTGGACTGTTTTAGGCTTAAGGTTAGAAGTATGTTTACTTCCGTGTACGATACAGTTGGGGATAGAGATATAGATGTTCTGGGCTGGGGAGAGAGTGGCCATTTTATTATTAAATGAGGGCCCTCATATGTATAAGTAGAAACATGAGTAAGTGCATGAAAGAGAACAAGAGAAAGGGTAGGAAGTGTTAGCTTTTGTGTATCTTTCTGACTATAGTAATCTTTATTTAGGTGGCAGCAAAGAACCAGATTTTACAAGTCAAAATCAATTGTGAGCGGTCCTTTGAAGGAAATCTGTGAGAAGAAGAAACATTTGTTTTAATATTTAATGTCATAAACACTTGGTTGAAATATTGGTAGTACGAAATGGGAATGACAGTGGGAAATTCCCGTCCCTCACTGAAATCTCTCACATGGTGTGTAGAGTTTCCCTTCACTGATATAAAAAGGATGGTCAAAACATTAATCACACTTCTCAGTTCAACAGCTCCCCAAACTAAAACCTCCAAAATTAACACAAAGCTGAATCCCACCTCTCTGACACAGTCTCCAAACAAAGAAGGTAACTAAAACTCATAAACCTTCAGTGAAGGTAAAAATTATTCTATTCTTCTCAGGATAT